ATTTTTGTTGAATTTTTCACATGAAAAATTACAATATCCCTTGTAAAAACAACAAGGAGTCTGGTGGCACCTTAAAGACTAACAGATTTATTTGGGCATAAGCTTTCGTGAGTAAAAACCTCACTTCTTCGGATGAGGTTTTTACTCACGAAAGCTTATGCCCAAATAAATCTGTTAGTCTTTAAGGTGCCACCAGACTCCTTGTTGTTTTTGTAGATACAGACTAACACGGCTACCCCCTGATACTTGATAACCAATCTCACTATACTTAGCATTATATGCAGTAAACACTCTACTCTTAAATTACAGTTCATGGCAATAAAGTCCCATTAAACATACATTCTCTCTCCTATTATGCAGTTGTGCTCTAAATGAGGTGTCTACACTGTGTTCTACACTAGGTTAATCTTTTGGGTTCTCTCCCGAATTAACAAAAATTCCATTTAGTTTCCTTTCCGATTTCCTCCCTGTCATGACCATGCTATAAAGCAAAGCTGAGCCAGCAAACGGCACCCGTGTAGCAGCCAGATGGGTCTCTGGACTGAGCTCCTGCCCTGAGAAAAAGGCAGGGAATACTAGCCAGGCACTAGCTGCCCCTATATTACAGCTCCACGTGCCACACTGGGAGCTCTCAGCACTCCCATCGCAGTGTCGTGCTCCTTATTTTCAAAAGGGGCAGATGAATTTTTTTCCAGAGATCGTTGTAGCTTCCTAATATGCAAGGCAAAGCTTAGAGTTGTCAACTTCCTAATTGCAAAAAAATGAACACCCTAGCCCCACCCCTTCCTAAGGTCCCACCCCCTACCCTGCCTATTCCTGAGGCCCCATCCCCTGTCCTGCCCCTTCCCCGAGGTCAAGGCCCTGCTTACTACATTGCCCCTCTCTCAGTGGCTCGCTCTCCCCCACCCCCTCACTCATTTTCACTGGGCTGGAGCAGAGGGTTGGGGTATGGGAGGGGGTGAGAGCTCTAACTGGGGGTGCAGACTCCAGAATGGGGCCAGAAATGAGGGGTTCAGGGTGCAGGATGGGGCTCCAGGTTGAGGCAGGGAATTGGGGTGCGGGAGGGGGTAAGGGCCCTGGCTGGGGGTGCAGGCTCTGGGGTGGGGTTGGGGATGGAGGGGTTTGAGGTGCAGGAGGGGACTCCAGTCGGGGGGTGGGGCCGAGGGATTCGGAGTGCGGGAGGGAGCTGTGGGTAAAGGCAGGGGGTTGAGGTGCATGAGGGGGTGTGGGCTGGTGGTGAGGGCTCTGGGATGGGGCTGGGGATGAGGGGTTTGGGGAGCAGGAGGGGGCTCCAGGCTGGGGGGTGAGGCTGAGGGGTTCAGGGTGTGGGGGAGCTCTGGGCTGGGGTTTGGGATGGGGGGGTGAGGGCTCTGGACTAGGGTTGCGGCTCTGGTGTGGGGCCAGGGATGAGGGGCTTGGGTTGCAGGAGGGGGCTCCAGATTTGGGGGGCCTTAGGGCTGGAGCAGGGAGTCGGGGCTCATGGTTGAGGTGCAGGCTTACCTTGGGCAGCTCCTGGTTGGCGGTGCTGCGGGTCTAAGGCAGGCTCCCTGCCTGACCTGGCACCGTGCTGCGCCCCAGAAGCAGCTGGCAGGTCTGGCTCCTAGGCGGGGGGGCCAGGACACTCCATGCAGTGCTCTCAACCGGATGATCCATCCCCCCCAGCTCCCATTGGCCATGGTTCCTGGCCAGTGAGAGTGCGGAGCCCATGGTCAGGGCAGGGACAGCGTGCGGAGCCCTGTGGCCCCCCCCACCTAGGAGCCGGGCCTGCTCCCCACGTTGGGGGCGCAGCACAGTGCCAGGACAGGTAGAGACTAGCCTGCCTTAGACCCGCAGCACCGCCAACCACACTTTTAATGGCCCAGTCGGCGGTGCTGACCAGAGCTGCCAGGGTCCCTTTTCGACCGGGCTTTCCAGTCAAAAAACGGACATCTGGCAACCCTAGCAAAGGTGTCTGGTGAAAGATCATGTGTCCCTACAGAACAGAGCTGGGAAGAGAAACATCTCTAGTTACAGAGCGTAGGATCACATGACCTTGCTCTGGGATTTAATTACCATGAAGCAATTCATTTACATTTCTGCTGGGGAAAAGTCTTCAGTGGAGGATCAGGTCCTCTGCACCTAGGTACCGCGGGTACAATAGCACTTCTCTCCCACGCAGGGTGTGGGGGCGGGGGGAGCGCATTAACACATGGGCAGTGGGTAGATCCTGGGGCTGGGCCAGTGCATGTTCTGCAGCAGGGAACAGGGAGGAGGGAGTGGAGCCCCCAGAATGTAAAGAGCCCCACAGCTCAGAGCCTGCTGTCCCTTCTTCCCCACCCTCCCATGCATAGTGTAGCAGCCCAACCTATTCCTTTCTCACCTCTCCCCTCCCTAACCCCCCAGTACTCCCATGTGTGATGCTGGCAAACCAGGGGCCAGCTCTTGCCAAGGCTTTAGGCCTCAGCTGAGCACTGACAAATTCATTGCTGGAAGCCAGACCAGCTCACCTCTGCCGTATGACTAAGATAGGTATTGGACTTATAACAATGGGGTTAGCCTTTATGAAATGCTTGTAAGTTGCTGCATGCATTAATCTCACTTATAATATCTTTATCATCTGCTATAAGGTAATAGTTACGTTTTTGCTTTGCAACTGTAACAAATGTTTGGTAATTGCCCCTTCACACCCAGGAAGAGGCTGTGTGCAAAAGGACAGGTTTCAGAGTAGCAGCCGTGTTAGTCTGTATCCGCAAAAAGAACAGGAGTACTTGTGGCACCTTAGAGACTAACAAATTTATTAGAGCATAAGTTTTCGTGGGCTACAGCCCACTTCTTCGGACGCATATAGAATGGAACATATATTGAGGAGATATATATACACACATACAGAGAGCATGAACAGGTGGGAGTTGTCTTACCAACTCTGAGAGGCCAATTAAGTAAGAGAAAAAAAACTTTTGAGGTGATACTCAAGATAGCCCAGTACAGACAGTTTGATAAGAAGTGTGAGAATACTTACAAGGGGAAATAGAGTCAATGTTTGTAATGGCTCAGCCATTCCCAGTCCTTATTCAATCCTAAATTGATTGTATCTAGTTTGCATATCAATTCCAGCTCAGCAGTCTCTCCTTGGAGTCTGTTTTTGAAGTTTTTCTGTTGTAAAATAGCCATCCGCAGGTCTGTCATTGAATAACCAGACAGGTTAAAGTGTTCTCCCACTGGTTTTTGAGTATTATGATTCCTGATGTCAGATTTGTGTCCATTAATTCTTTTGCGTAGAGACTGTCTGGTTTGGCCAATGTACATGGCAGAGGGGTATTGCTGGCACATGATGGCATATATCACATTGGTAGATGTGCAGGTGAATGAACCCCTGATAGTATGGCTGATGTGATTAGGTCCTATGATGATGTCACTTGAATAGATATGTGGACAGAGTTGGCATCGGGCTTTGTTACAAGGATAGGTTCCTGGGTCAGTGTTTTTGTTCAGTGATGTGTGGTTGCTGGTGAGTATTTGCTTTAGGTTGGGGGGTTGTCTCTAAGCGAGGACAGGTTTGTCTCCCAAGATCTGTGAGAGTAAAGGATCATCTTTCAGGATAGGTTGTAGATCTTTGATGATGCGCTGGAGAGGTTTTAGTTGGGGGCTGAAGGTGACAGCTAGTGGTGTTCTGTTATTTTCTTTGTTGGGCCTGTCTTGTAGGAGGTGACTTCTGGGTACTCATCTGGCTCTGTCAATCTGTTTTTTCACTTCAGCAGGTGGGTATTGTAGTTTTAAGAATGCTTGATAGAGATCTTGTAGGTGCTTGTCTTTGTCTGAGGGATTGGAGCAAATGCGGTTATATCTTAGAGCTTGGCTGTAGACAATGGAACGTGTCCAGTTCTGTGTGCAAAAGGGCTCATCCCATCAGCTTGAATTCTGAAAGAAAGAAAGAAAGAAAGAAAGAAAGAAAGAAAGAAAGAAAGAAAGAAAGAAAATTGTTGATCTCTTTTCTGTTCAGACTCTCAGGGCTGGAGCTAGGAAACAGAAAGCAGAGATTCCCACGGTCATCCTAGGTTAGCTCTAAAAGACATTCAGTGCTGCTGACCGATGAACGGTACAGAGTTTAAGCGTAGAAGTTTCTGGTTATCAGGGAATAACATACAGATTATCAAGGGGTGCAAAATTCGGGTTAAGATTGGATGGTGTAAGGAATAATACATAATTTGCAATATCCCCGATTGGGGGTAAAAGATTAATGGGTCAAAGTACAGACATTGAGCTATGAGGGTATGTTGTTCATATAATGGCTATGTTCAGGTGTGGAGTATAATGAGTGGATACGGTGATGAGAATGGATTGACCCTCTGTGACGTTATTGACATAAACTGGGACCGTATAGATCATTGTTGCAACCAAGGTCCTGTAGTGGCATGCAAATCTTGTATAAAGGGGGTCAGATGGGGTGTCTAGGACAAGGTTGTGGTTTACTGGTTATGATTATGCTGTCTATATGTGTGTATCAGTTTTGTAGTCGAAGTTATGAATATTGGCTCTATACTGTCTGTATGGC